CTAAGAATTATGCACTAGTCTTAATGATGAAATATTGAACCACATGGGTAGATAAGAGGTTATTGAAAAATGATGTCAAAAAAACATTCTTTAGTCGAACAGGTAATAAATTAGTGATGGATACTTAACTGGTGTCTACTGAAGAATTATAATGTATTTGATTGCTCTTCACTTCAATGTTCTAAAGACAATGAAAGCTTAAAATTTTAACATATGTACTATTTCATATCGACTATAGTATAAAGTTGAAAATTCCAAATTGTTACTAAGTTTGAAATTTACATGGCAAAATTACTGTAAACTTCATTCTGTTTTGATATTTTCAGAATTTCTATCAGTCAAAAAAAAATCTTAGAAATTTCAATGTAAGTATAATTATTTCTTTTCTCGAAACCTATCGTTTCAAAACTAGTTAACAAATCAAAAATGTACTAAGTTGACATCAATTGAGACTAAGAGTATGAGATAGGGTGAGGGCAATGGTAAGATTCCACCATTAGGATAAAACGATTAGTACCTACCATTGTATCCATGAATGTGCTAATATTAGGGAAATAAGATATCTGATTTTCTCGTGACGATGTTACATTGTGCATACTTGTAAAACCTAGCAATCAAAGATCTTGAAAAATTTATCAATCATTAAAGATTTGCTACGACCTCAGTAAAATGATGATTTTTAAAGAAACATAGTAAACAAAGAGTGCTCGACGAACAAAATACAGATAATGATATATGAAAGCTTGAATCTATTCAACTAATCAAACAATTTTTTCAATAGCTGAATGCTCAAAAACCTAGATTGACGATACAAGTGTTCAGAAACTGTCGTTTCAATTCAAAAGTTTGAAAATATGTAAAATAAATGAAGGATAGAGACAGAAAACTGTACACAGTTATTATACAGCAATCAGCAACGCAATCGGGAACTATCAAAAGAGCAAATATTGAGTTTTCGAAAAAAACATTTTTCCTTGTTATTATCGTTAGAAATAGATCATTAGTTTAACTAACTATTTCATTGTAAATTGTGCCGGTGAAGAAATGAAGTGATGTTGTGTCATTGACATTTTGTGTAACAATCCTATGAAGTTAAGAGCAAAATAAAGGAAGAATGGATGGTTAATTGAAAATGCGGCAATGAATAACTTTTATTTAACAAAAAAAAAGAGTTAAAAAAATAATTGTTGTTAACAGAGTTGAGAACTTGACTCAAAAAGAATTCTCGCCTTGTAACAAAATCCTATTTCTATGAAGAGAAACTTTCTCTCTCTTATTTTAATAATTTTTCTTGTCTCTATTTCAGATTATCCATTACGTTCTCCATCCAGCACCAACATTCATCCGAATGCTCGATGGCAACAAAATAGTATCAGTGTGGCTGGAGGATATCGACAAGGCAATGGAATCAATCAACTCTCAAACCCATGGGGTTTGTATGTTGATGATGATCAAACAATCTATGTTGCTGATCAATCAAATCACCGTATTGTGGAATGGAAACGAGGTGCAACGAATGGCCAAGTGGTTGCCGGTGGAAATGAACAAGGAAGTGGAGATCATCAATTGTCTAACCCACAAGATGTGATTATCGACAAAGAGAGAGATAGTCTCATCATATACGATGCTTCGAATAGAAGAGTGGTTCGATGGCCTCGTCGAAATGGGACAAGTGGAGAAACAATCATCTCCAACATCTCATGTGTGGGTTTGACAATGGACGAGAATGGATCTCTCTATGTCACTGA